CTTGCTTTTTCTAGTAAAATTGGCAACAAATGGAGTAACAATGCAATAGGTCAATCTTATTCAAGGTATAGCGTATTTTTGATTAGTTCAAGGGGCATTCCTGCAGAGGAACTTCAACCTAGGCAGACTTCCATTTGATTGTCTAAATTTATAGTAGTAACATTCCTCATTAGGATGGCCAGTACAAAGGTTACACCAAAGGCTTAGTGAGCTACAAAAAGCAGTCTTCAGCCTTTCTTAAATAACCATACTAAAAGATGGTATGCAAAAAAACCTACATTAAGAATCAGCCAATCAGATAAAAATTTGCAACAACCATAAAGCCACCACTTCAATAATATGCATTTTCCTAAACTTTGAAATTCATCAGCTGCATTTATACTTCAGGCCACATCTTACAAACCTCACAACTAAGGTATTTTTAGCACACGTTAGTAATGACCGAAGGGGCTAGTGTCAATACAAGAGCTTAGTATGTGGTATAACTACAGCACTTGCCACTGGGGCTGGTCAAAAATGGTCTGGCTATTTTCTGCCAAAAATAATTTGGGTTTCTAAAAGAGAAGAATTGCCATAGGGGGTCAGACCAATGGTCCATCTAGCCCAGTATCCTGTCTAACAGTGGCCACTGCTGGATGCTTCAGAGGGAATGAACAGAACAGGGACATTTCAAGTGATCCATCCCCTGTTGTCCAGACTGTTACACCAATAAAATAAAAACCAGCAGGATCTTTTTAAAGGGGAAAAAGCAAAATACCACATTTATTGTGAATACAGAAAGAATCATAGTAAGCAGTTAGTTATAGCTATAACATTCCATTCAATCTCATATTTATTCACACATTCATTCATATACACACACAAAGGTTCTGCAAGGTTGTTATCATAGGTTTCAGAGTAACAGCCGTGTTAGTCTGTATTCGCAAAAAGAAAAGGAGTACTTGTGGCACCTTAGAGACTAACCAATTTATTTGAGCATGAGCTTATAATATCTGCTGCAGTTTCCACGGTATGCATCCAATGAAGTGAGCTGTAGCTCACGAAAGCTCATGCTCAAATAAATTGGTTAGTCTCTAAGGTGCCACAAGTACTCCTTTTCTTGTTATCATAGTTACCAGCCTTAGAGTTGATCATGCCAAGCCAGGTGGCCTGGACATAAGGAGGGAGCAGGGCCTCATCAGATGCACATCTGATGCTCCTGGAAGTTGGTTTGCAGAATCAGACCCCAAAGTTCTCACTTTCTAGAGTCTATTTTTATAGGAATTTCTTCCTATGTCAGTCTATGGGAATTGCTTCATCATGCTGTTGCTGAATCAATCCGCAGATGTCACATTCCTGACAGCTCTGTGCTGCCAGATGTTATCTTGTTCTTTGGTTCTCCCATTCTTGAGGCTGTTGAGTGGATTCCAGTCTGCCCTCCGGGGGTCCTCTGGTTATTTCCACTTGACGCCTTCTTCAGCCTATGGACACTGGATTCTTAGGCTGGCACCTCTCTGATCATTCAGTTATTATCCACACCAAGCATCCATCCACATACATCCTCTATCTCTATTTTAATCACAATTGTTAACGAAGCAAGATGAATACAACAAAACGGTGGTGATTGTTACAAAGAATTGCTTTGAGAACAGACTCTGTCTTAGAATGTACTAACACAATTAGCAGCTTGCAAGTTTTACACAGAGAGGAGAGAAACAGTACCAAAAACCAAGAGACCTCTTAATTAGTAATACCCTGGAATTTAAACTATGAGGAATCAACCTCATTTGTGATTTTAATACAGAACTTCTTTAATATGATCCAACAAGACCCAGCTTCTGGCAGTCAGAGGCTTAAGGACAACCCAGAGCATAGGGTTGCATCCCTGACCATTTTGGCTAAGAGCCATGGATGGACCTATCTTCCATGAACTTACCTAAATTTTTTTTTTTAACCCAGTTATACCTATGGCCTTCACAATTTCCCCAGGCTGATTGAACTGTGTGAAACTTGTTTCTTTTTAAAGCAGCTGCCTATTAGTTTCATCGGGTGACCCTTGGTGGTTGTGTTATGTGAAGGAATAAATAACACTTTCTACACACCATTCATGACTTTATAGACCTCTATCATATCTCTCCTTAGTCATCTCTTTTTCTAAATTGAACAGTCCCAGTCTTCCTAATCTCTCCTCATGTGGAATCTGTTCCAAATCCCTAATCATTTTTACTGCCCTTCTCTACTTTTTCCAGTAAATTTTATCTATCCCTTTCCCAATGATTCCTCTCCTGGTAGCTTTTTTTTTTTTTTAACTGCCACTGCACATTGAGCAGATGTTTTCAGACAATCATCCATGATGACTCCAAAATCTTTCTTGAGTCGTAACGGCTAATTTAGACTCCATTTTGTGTGTATAGTTGAAATTACTTTTTCCAATGTGCATTACTTTGCATTTATCAATTTTGAATTTCATCCACCATTTTGTTGCCCAGTCGCCCCCTTTTGTGTGATCCCTTTGTAACACCACAGTCTGCTTTTTCACTATCTTGAGTAATTTTGTATCTTCTGCAAATTTGCCACCTCACTGTTTTATCCCTTTCTCCAGATCATTTGTGAATATGTTGAACAGCACTGGTCCCAGTACAGATTCTTGGGGGAACCCTCCTATTTACCGCTCTCCATTGTGAAAACTGACCATTTATTTCTACCCTTTGTTTTCTAATTCTTAACCAGGTACTGATCCATGAGAGGACCTTCCCTCTTATCCCATGATTGCAATTTCATATTTATGTTCCTTCTGAACCCTTGAGTGAATACCATCTGAGGGGGGTCTGTGCTGGCCTAGAGTGACACACAGTGGCCCACAGTTATACTTCCATTTCCACCAGGGTGGGCGGGGGGAGTCTTAAGGTTGGAGCTCAAATGAGGCCTTTCATAAAGGGGCATTCTGCTGCCTGATAACAGAGAACCACCTGAGCACAATTTTGCCAAACTTTGTGTCAGCATAACATCTCCCTGACATTACTACACTCCCAACATATCTACTGGATTCCTTAGAGACCATCTGCTGAACTTTTAACTCAGGCATGATCATAAGATCTGTACGTAACTAGTGTCAATCCATAATGAGCTGCCTGGGCAATTGCATTTGGGTGAGTTGCCCTCTTGAGAGGAATGCAGGCTGAGGATGCTTTAGAAGCAGGTGAGCTCAGGAGAAGGATCTGTCACAAGGAAACAGACTTAGGTAACAAGATCTGGGTATTGATACACAGTGACCAAGGGGCCTTCTATAAGGATATTATCATACAGGGAGCACCATTTGCAGGAAAGTGTCCCCATTCCCGTGGAGGCAACATGGACAGATCAGTGTACATCAGGGACCTCTTCCTGTAGCTGGGAGATTTGCCCCGGGTTAGCTGAATTTCAAAAGGTGCGGACCTACGAAAAACGTAACAATGTTTAGCTGCGCTAAGACCACAGCTGATCATGCTGACAAATATCATAATATTGTTTTCTTGTACTCCCCCATCTGTCCACATCCATTGGTTGTCTCTTACTTAGATTGTTAGCCCCTTGGGGCAGGGACTGTCTTTTTCTTCTGTGCTTGTACAGCACCTAGCGCAGTGAGGTTTTGATCCCTGACAGGTTCCCAAGCACTGTGATAATACAAATAATAATAATAAAGGGTGGAGAATGAAGAGAAGAGAAGTTGCTACATGGACGAAGAACAAACCAAAGAACCTCTAGCTCTTTCGTTCTGTCCATGTCTCTCCTGCCCTGAGCTGTCATACCCAATTATGAAATAACTAATAAAAAACGACAAGTTATACCATGAGATGGTTTCTGGTAGCAAGCTATATTTTAGGATGAGTTATAGGCAAAGATTCTCCCAACCCTGTTGCTCGTTAGGCAGTAAGATGATGGGAAGGGAAAGTTACTCAGGACCCAGGGTTCTGATTCTTATTTATACTACTTATAATATTACTCTATAACAAATAAGGTTAAAAAAAATCCACAATAATATACTTGTAGCTTTTAAACTACCCAAAGTGAGTCAGATTTATTACTACCCAAATACAGATTTGCTGCCTCACTGCCTGTTCTACATTAATAAGAAACACTTGCACAGAGCAATAAGGCCCAGCTCCTCAAAGTTATTTAAACTCCTATCTTTGATTGAAAGCAATGGGCATTAAGTGCCTAAATACCTCTTTAGATCTGGACCAGCCTGCTCACAGGAGAGTTCATCTTGAAGGGACAGTGCTACCAAGAAATTAACTAAAAGGGTCAATTGCAATCATATGTGTACAATTATTCACTTTCCCAAGAACCCCTGCATGTTGTCCCACATACATTCTATCCTCATTGGTCACAGCAGAGAGTATTTCTTTCTCATGGGTTTGCTGAACTGTCAGTCTTCAGCTCCTGACCACCTTTCTCCCCAATGACATCACCACAGGTACATAAAAGGTGAGCAGGTTGAAGTGAGCATTTATGGGAATATCAAGTACAGCTGACAAGGCTAGGTAAATAATTACTGTAGATGAGATGATAAATAACACTTTGTTTTCTTTATGCATTTATTAGTTTCAAATATATAGTAATTTCTGTAAAATGCTACTTTTTAAAATTTGAGTGATGGGGTTTGTGTTTCTGGGTTGTTTTTTTTTCCCTCCTCTCCTGAGGGGGGAGAGAAAGGAGGCATCAAGTTGGGGCTCTTTTATTGTGATCTGCAGCTGGTAACTTTAGTTGGGTTTTGTTTTGTTTCCTTCTTTCCTGCCTGATATGTAAGAACAAGACTAACTTCTTGTAGGACCAAACTCCTCTCAAATGTGACTGCTCAGAGATTCTCTTAATCCTACATCATATGTGAGAAATAGCCTGTAAATTATATTGAAGAGGTAAAAATTGGTAAAACTGGATATTTGTAGTTCTTCAGCTATGACTTATGTGACTACTGTTAAACTGCAATGTTAATCAAATGAGTCTGTGCTCTTGACCTGTAACTGCTCCACCTCTCTTGCCTTTTAGCTGTATCTGACTCCACTATGTCTTCTGAGAAGCAAATACATGATTCTTCCTTAGAGACCCAGGAACAGGAGCAACAGGTAGGTACATGTATTAAGAGGGTGATATACTGAATCTCTCCCATCACTGTCTAAAAGAGAGCCTACTAAATGAAAGGTTGTAGAGGTGTTCTTAAACTAAGGTGGGGAGGGGGAGCAGCCAACAAGTGCAGAGGAGTACACCATTTGGACCGAGACATCCCCTACAAGAGGATCTATTAATGGGGATTCTGCCTGTTGAGGCTGGAAGCTGATAAAGTACAGGTAGGAAATGAAGAGAAACAGTCAAGTGAAAGAGTCCCATTCAATTACATCACATAAAGGCTGACTGCTAAAAACTGACAAATTTTATAAGCACTTTTATACAAATGCTAAAAGTATAAATACTAAGGGGTGAACTTAAGTGCCAAGTATTAAATGAGGCTATAAATATAATTTGCATCACCGCGAGTTGGTAGAATGATGATCCTCAATGAGGCATGGCAATACCATGGTGCAAAATGTATAGGAATGATAGGTTGGGCTGGGGGGAATGGTATATGTGACAGAAAGCATAGAATCAAATTAAATGAATCAAACTGTCCTAGAGAATCTCAAAGGATAAAAATTCTATTCTTTGAATAATGAGAACATAGCAATCGGCACATGCTACTGACCAAGATGGTGGTTTGTGAAATACTCAGGGACCCTAGAGAGACTACAAAAATAGAAAACTCAGTGGGGATTTCAGCTATCCCCATATTGACTGGGTACATGCCACCTCAGGGTGGGATGCAGGGAGAGTTTTTAGATGGTATAAATGAGAGCTGATGCAAGGCTGGAACCCACAAGGGGAGAGACCATCTTGCTTTAGTACTAAGAGGTGAATATAGGTGAACCACTTAGTTATATTATGGCTGCTATTACTAAGTTTCACATCCCTGTGATGAGGGGGGAAAAACCCCAGAGAGGCCCACCACAGTAGGCTTTAAACTTAAGAAAAGGGAACTAGTTAAATGGAAACTAAAAAGAACAGTCACAAGTGAGTTCTGCCAAGTTGCATTGAAATTTTTTTTAAAAAACACAATAATAGAGGCTCAAATTAAATAGTAAGAGGACCAAAAAAGGGGCCATGATGGTGAAACCACAAAATAAAAAATGGTTAGTGGCGAAAAGACTTCCTTTCTAAAAATTGGAAGTTAAATCCTAGTGTGGAAAATAGAAAGGAGCATAAACTCTGGCAAGTCAAGCATAAAAGTGTAATTAGGCATTCCAATAAAAAAATTTTGAAGAGCAACTAGCCAAAAACTCTAACAGCAAAAAAATTAAGTACATCAGAAACAGTCTGCTTAACAATCAGTGGGGTCACTAGGCAATTGAGGTGCTAGAGAGAGACACTTGAGGAAGATAAGTCCAATGCAGAGAAGCTAAATGAATTCTTTGCATTTGAACTTACATCATCTTGACATCACAGGATGTGAGGGAGGTTTCCACACCTAAGCAAGTCTTTAAGTGACAAATCCCAATGAACTGTCCCAGATTGAGGTGTGGATAAAGGAGGTTTAGGAACAAATTGATTTATTTAATAATAAATTGCTAGGACCAGATGGTATTCACCCAAGAGTTCTGCAATTTCATATTTGAGTTTCTTCAGAACTACTAAATGACACTTAACCTATCACTTAGATCTGTTCCAGTACCAGATGACTAAAAGATAGCTAATGTGTGATACCACTTTTAAAAAGGGCTCCAGAGGCAAACCTGGCATTTACAGATGAGTAAGCCTAATTTCAGTACCAGGCAAATAGTTTGAAACTATATAGTAAAGAACAGAATGATCAGATGCATAGACAACATAATTTGGGGGGGTGGGGTGGGAAGAGTCAACATGGCTTTTGTAAAGGGACATAATGACTCTCCAATCTATTGGAATTCTTTTGGGGGGGGAGGGATCAACAGACATGTGGACAGGGATGATATAGTGTATTTGGACTTTAAAAAAAGCTAATGACAGGGTCCCTCGCCAAAGGCTCTACTGCAAAGTAAGCTGTCATGGGGTAAGAAGGAAGGTTCTCTTATGGATCAGTAACTCCTTAAGAACTAGGAAACAAAGGTGAAAATGGACCATTTATTTCTACCAATAGAGAGCAGTAAACAGCAGGGTCCCCAAGAATCTGTAGTGCTGTTCAACATATTCAGAAATCACTATTTGCCACTTCCCCCACATGAAGTCCAAAGCTGACTGAAAAGAGTTAAGGGATCTCAGCAAAGTGGGTGAGTAGGCAAAAAAGGCAGATGAAATTCAATGTTGGTAAATCCAAGTTAATGGACATTGGGTGGTTGGGACTGTTTTCCAAAGTGATGGGATCTAAATTAGCTGCTTTCACAAAAGAAACTTATTGAAGTAATTGTGGATAGTTCTCTGAAAACATCTGCCCAATTTGCTGCAGCAGTTTAAAAAGCAAACTATGCTAGGAATCATTAGGAAATGAATAGATAAGACCGAAAAATATCATTATGCCCGTATATAAGTCTATAGTACAGCCAGACCTTGACTACCACACATAGTTCTGGTTGCCCCATATCAAAAGAGAATTATTAGAATTGGAAAAGGTACAGAGAAGGGCACCAAAAATATTAGGGATATGGAACCGCTTCCATATGAGGAGAGAGTACAAAGATTGGTGCAGCTCATCTTGGAAAAGAGATGACTAAGGGGAGGTCTATAAAATCACAAATGGCATAGAGAAAGTGAATAGGGAAGTGTTATGAAGGAGTAAACATGACTCAAGAACTAGGGGACACCCAATGAAACAAATAGGCAGCAGGCTTAAAAAAAAAAAAGGAATTACTTCATACAACACAGTAAACCTGTGGAACTCATTGCCCTGGGATGTTGTGAAGGCCATAGGTATAATAGGATTGAAAAAAGTTAGATAAGTTCATGGGGGAGAGGTCCATTTCTGGCTATTAGCCAATGTGGCCAGGGGATGCAACCTCATGCTCTGGGTGTCTCTAGCCTGACTGCCAGAAACTGGGAGTGAACAGGGGGTGGATCACTTGATTCCCTCCTGGAGCATCTGGCATTGGCCATGACTGGAAGACAGCATGGCCAACCTAGCCCAGTATACTGGGTCAAACAAATGGTCAGTCTTATGTTCTAGCAATCCCATCACAGTCTGTTTAGTGACTACAGAGCTGAATATTCATGGAGACTATTTCCCATTCTATGAAAGACTGTGTGATTGGCTTCAGCACTACTGAAACTTTCTTAAAACATGCCAAGCTTGACATAGCTGAAAGCTATTCTGGGACCTGATCTGAAAATCCTGAGTAAACCTTCCAGATAATGAAAGAAGGTCTCCTCTCAAAGACGATGGGAGTAAGACACACTTGGATCTTTCAGCTAGTTTAATACAGCATCCCATAGTAATTAGAGGACCATTTGACTGTGTAACCCTTCAGACTGCTGAGAATTTGAGCCTTTGAATTAGTGTGGGAGGAAAGGTCCATGACTATGAAATACCTGCAAGGTGCTAACTGACTCTCCTTCCTCTGTAGGCTTTCCAGTATGATGCTCTCACTAGCCACTTCTCAGTGGCTCTTCACAAATCTCTCTCCCTTTCTTGCCTGCAGAATCTCTTGAGGAGGGTGGCCAGTCTGCCCTTGGTCAGCTCTGCCTATGACATGGCTGCAACTGCCTACACCTCCACCAAGGAGAGCCACCCCTACCTAAAGTCCTTGTGTGATGTGGCAGAGAAAGGCGTGAAGACCATTAGTGAGGCTGCAGCCAGCAGGGCACAGCCAATTCTGACTTCATTTGAACCACAGAGTGAGTAAGCGGGGCTTGCAGGTCGTTTTATCAATGAACATAAGTGTCTCCATCCCAAGTGCAGACATGGAGTGCAATGGCTCACAGTCTCAGGCTTCTTTTTGAAGGCCTATATCTTGCACTTATTCTTGATTTCCTTACTCCTTGATATAACTACATCCCAAGACAGTCCAGAGCCCCTGCCTTGCTGAGTACTTACCTTTTTCATTTTAAGGCTCCTGTATATCTTGAGACTTGGTCAGTTTCTCACAGGCAGAGAAGTCATTGCCAAATAACTTCAGTGACTGGAAGACTCAGTCTTCCGTCTCTGATGGTGCACCAACAACTTGACTGACTCAATCCATAGATTACTTTATGTGGGTAATCATCTTTGCGTGCCAAACCTGTTAAATTCTAATGGCCCTTTTAGAAATGGGGAATTGAAGTGACTCCTGGGTGCTCATCCCTAAATTTTTAGGGGGCTTGCTATTCCAAAGTGCTGAACACCTGAGAGTCGGGTCTCTCTAAATATCCAGGTTCATGCAGGGTTGGGGACAGGTTTGGTTGCTAAAAGGACTGCTGTGGTCCTCTAGTCTGACCACCTGCATACAGGCCACAAAAAATAATGCAGGACTTCCCTGAAATAAAGACCAATAGCTAAAGCTGAATTAAAGCATATGTCTTGGGGAAAACATCCAATCTTGACATTCCCAGGGATGGAATCTCCATCATAATCCTAGGTACACTGCTCCAGTAGTTAACATTTGACAAGAATAGTAAATCTATTTCTAATCTGAATTTGCCTAGCTTCAGCCTCCAGTCACTCGATCAGGATAGCTCTGTCTGAAGAGCCCTCTAAACATCTCTTTCCCCATGTAGGTGTTTACAGACAGTAACTCAACATTCTTCTTGATAAGCTAAATAGAGCTCTTCGAGCCCCTCATTACAAGGCATGTTTCTAATCCTTCAATCATTCTTGTGGCTCTTCCCTGAACCCTCCCCAATTTTTTCCAACTCTTGAAGTGTGGACACCAGACTGGTACTTCAGTACCACTCACATCAGACCCAAATACAGGGGTAAATAACCTCCTCCTGCATATTCCTGTTAATGCATACAAGGATGCCATTAGCACTTTGCCATAGCACTGCGAGCTCAAAGTCAAATGACTATTCTGAACCACCAAGGCTCTTTAATTACTGTTCCTTAGCATAGTCTGCCATTTGATTATAGCTTTCATGTTTTGTTCCTAGACATGACTTAGGTTTCATTCCCCCTAGACTATCAGGAGATCCAGATCCAGTCACTGTGGAACCCCACTAGAAACACCTCTAAAAGATGATTCCCAGCTCACAATTACATTTTGAGACCTATCCATTAGCAACAATTTAATCCGCTTAATGTGTCGGGTTGACTTGTATTCTACCTTATGCCATGGTGATACCAAGTCAAATGCCTTACAGAAGTCAAACCTAACAGTGATGTAATATTCTTAAATCCACCAACCTTGTAGTCTCACCTTTTTAAAGTTTGACAAGATCTAGCTTCAACAAACCCAAGTCAATTGACACTAGTTATATTCCCCTTTCATTCTTAGAGTCCCACATCAGCAGTTTTATTTTGTCCAGAGTTGACCTAGTCAATAGGTAACTGGGAAGTCTGTCTACACAGTCATCCTGTTTACCCTCAAATTTTGGCACAATAGTTTTCTTCTAGTCCTCTTGAGCTCTGGCCTTCTAGGACTTTTTAAAAATCAGCAATGGTCCAGGGGGATGTACAAACTGAGGTACCCAAAATTGTTTCACATTTTTAAAAATTCAGGCCTGAAACTGTAGTTACTCAATGGATCTACTGTATAGCAAAAGTTCAGGTCCTAGGGTAGCATGATACAACACAAAGGGGAAATGCTAAACTAGCATGTTCTCCATTCAGTGTGGCTAGATTTTAATCTCTTGGCAGGCTTGCTGCTGACTGGAGAAGATCTGGCCGAATCGGTCATCGGCAGTGACCTTACCCTTTAATTGATCAAACTGAGTTTGACTTGTAGGACTAAACTGCCTTTCTCTATAGTTTCAACAGCCAATGAATCTATTATTAAGGGACTGGACACACTGGAAGAGAAGCTGCCAAGCCTTCAAATTACAGCGGATAAGGTAAACTTATGCTGCTCTTCTCTAGAGAAGGTTGTGGTCACATAAACCATCTAGGGTAAGAACTAGACCAGTCCAGAGCTCTGGAGGCAGCCTCATGAACCTTGTGGTTCAGGAAAGTGGCTGAGTCACATAAAGGCACTGCCCAGGAACAGATTTATTGCCTGTCTAGAATGAGGCAAAAATAGGAGGGTAGCTAAAGCCTAGTAAATGGTGCTCAACTAGATCATGGTATAATGGTTCTTCTCTGGAGAAGAACCATGTAGAATTTGAGGAAAGGGCATGGTGTGGGGGCAGACAATTCAGGCAGAGAATTGTATAAACAATACATGAAGAATAATCGCCAAATGTCTTCTGCTGTCGCCTCTGAAGGTTGCTTCAGACACCAAGGAGCTGGTGTCCTCCGAAGTAGAAGCTGCCAGCAGATTTTCCAGCTTGGTAGATGTGACCAGAGAAGCTATGCAAGCAAGTGTGGAGTCCACCAAGTCCGTAATGACCCACAGTGTGAACACAGTCATGGGATCAAGAATGGGCCAGATGGCTGTGAGTGGTGTGGAAGCAGTGCTGGAGAAATCAGCAGAGCTGTTGGATCAATATCTCCCCATAACGGATGAGGAACTAGGTCAGAACACATCTGAATCATGAGATGCTGGCTCCCTTCATTAGAGGTCTTGGTTCTTTTACTTTCAAGAAGGCCCTTTTACCTTATGACATGCAAAGTTGGAGCCAAATATTATGCTCAGTCTGTCTTGCTTTCACCCACCTGGTCCTTCATTTAGAAATCTGCTTTTCCTGTACCATCAAAGGCAGTTACACAGTTCACTGGCTACTGGAAAGTAGGTGGAGATGGTTAGAATGTCACTTGTATCCTGAGGCTTAGCTATCCAGACAATGAGATGTATTGGGCTCTTGGGGTGGGGAGTGATTAAGGGGAAAGAGTTAGAGGTGGCCAAATCCCTAATGCAGCTATCAAATGTCTGAAAAGGCAATATCCAAATAAGAATAGCTATGGTTACTATTGCTAGATGTGTCACAAGCAACTTCCTGACATAATTAATTCAACAAGATATTAAAAGTAGCTATAGTCTATGCCTTCCTCCCTTTTACCATCCTGCTAAAATGTTTTTGGTCATACCCCATTTATTTCCTTCAGCTGAACTTGCAACATCTATAAAGGAGGATGGAGTGGCTCCTCTCCAGCCTCAAAGTTACTTTGTGCGCTTAGGCTCCCTGTCAAGCAAACTCCGCCACCGTGCCTACCAGCATTCTCTAGCCAAGATTAAAAATACTAGGCAGAGCATCCAAGAGACTCTCTCCCAGCTTCACCAAACCATTGATCTGGTAGGAACTTTCTCATCAGCATTCTATTCTGGAGCTGATTTGGGCTGAGCAGACTGAGACCAAAGTGTCTTCTCTACAAGGTGTCTATGCTCTCCTGTTCCCCCTGACTACCCATGTTCCATTGGAACTGGCTGCTGCTTAAGCTAGTTTCTTACTTGGGGTCTAGGCAAGCAGATAACTCCAACTGCCATAATGCCTTGATTCCATCACACTTCACAAGCTAAGCAACACCTGGCCAACTGAGTCTCTGAAAGGGAGATCTCTGAAGAAAGCAGGTGTTGCAAGCAAGGGGAGGGGGGGGGCACATTATTTCCTCTTGGCTATGGAGCACTGTTTTGTTTTTTGTTGGCATATATGCCAACAAAAGTACTGAAATATGGCCCAGTCATCACTGGCACAGAGGGGGCCCCAGCGTCTCATAGATGCTCTAAAACACTTGTGGTGTATAAAAGGTGCTACAGAAATGTTGTGGTAAGACTCCTTTTCTCCTTGCTCCTCCAGATTGAATATGTGAAGCAAGGAGTGGATCAGAAGCTTCAAGATGGCCAAGAGAAGCTCCACCAAATGTGGCTGGACTGGAGCAAGAGGCAGACAGGAGGGAGTAAGGACTCGGAGTTGGTACAACCTGAGGTATCTAATTAGCCAGGATCCAGCTTTGGGCTGTGGCATTTCTGCCTATCTCGGTCTTATTCTACCTCAATAACAACTTGTTTCCTTTCAGCAGCTGGAGTCTCGTGCTCTGACAATGTTTCAGAGCATTATCCAGCAGCTGCAGGCAACCTGCCTAACCCTAATGTCAAGCATCCAAGGCTTCCCATCCAACATCCAAGATAAGGTGCAGCAGGTTCACCACAGCACAAAGGAGCTCCAGACTTCCTTCTCCACGGTTCACTCCTTCCAAGATCTCTCCAGCAGAATCCTGACCCAGAGCCGCAAACAGGTCACCAAAGCCCAGGGATACATGGATGAACTGCTAGAGTACATAGTGCACAACACTCCTCTGTCCTGGCTTGTGGGACCCTTCATGCTGTCTGGCAAAATACCAGAAGAAGCCATGGAACCATCAGAATGAGGGTGGGGAAGAATAAATAGCTTCTATAACTGCTCTGTCAAACTTACTGCAGCTCACTTGTAAAGGACCAAATTTTCCTTAACACTTATAGTGATTAACAAATAGGGTCTGAAAGCTTATATACCTTAGATTGAATTGTGTGGTGTGGGGTTTTTCCTTCCTTGTAGGAAATGAAGCTGCTTGCAGCTCCTGGTTCAAACATTCTTCACCACAATCCTGGAGAGGCACTTCCTCCCCTGGATAGCATGGGGTACAACTCAATCTCATGTCTTGCATGGGCTGCATGCTACCTGTGGCTGAGCTAAGATTAAAAGCAATGATTTATTTGCTTTCAAAATAGCAATGCTGTCACCAGAAGTATCTTTTAAAATGAGGGTGAAATATGAATGTAAAAAATACATAAATTGGATACTACCCTCCAGGAATGCCATCTACATCCTGGGATACTCGCCACAATCTTAAAGTAGTGGCTGAGAACTAGGTTACTTCTGGTGAAAACTGTTCTTGCCACAGTGAGAGAGACATCTCCAACTTCCTTCTTAAAGCAGTGAGAAATGGTACTAAATACAGCTTCAGCTCTAGGTGTCATGTGGATTGCTGAACAAGTCATTGACATAAATCATGGCCTTTCTAGAGCATGGATATATATAATATGCATATCTGTTAGTCAGATGACTAACCATACCACACATTAGTGTATTGGTGACTACCTTTACACTTGTTTTGGGTAACTGACTCATATTCCCTTGTCACTTTTCCTCAAATTGCTGTAGTAGACAACTTTGTCTCTTGCAAAATAAACATATTGCATATAAACAAATCTGTCTTCTAGCTTGTTCTTGAATTGCCTTAACTTTTAGCTATTCTTAACCCTAGACTATATCACAGTAGTCCCTTCTATCTCCTACATAACACTGGAATCCATTCCAGGAAGTCCTGTGGCCTGCTTAAAATCCAATATCTGTAGGTCAATGGACATCTCCTTAAAAATGTCCCATGCTGGACAACCAGCAACAACCCTTGGCAACCTGATGCTATTAATAAAAGGTCTGAGACTGTTCTAACAGCCAGCTATCCTTCCCTCACTCACGTCTTTCATCAAGATCTTAAGGAAGATGGTGTCTCCAAATAGCATCCCAGAATTCTTTAGTTTAGTTGGGACCAATAAAGATCTTTATCCCTGGGGCTGAAGGGCCCTAAACTTCTTTTGAGAGTTAAATAGAACTTCTAATGTCTGTATCAAACCCCAGAGCAGGGGGAGGGGTGGGGGAAGATGCCTTCAGCCTCAACATCAAAAATAGCTAGCTTGAAAATCTCCAAATTGGACATAGCACTGCATGATGAGGTCTCATGTCTCATAAAACGGGACTTAAAATAAATTCAAAGCACGTGTGGCTCTACTAACTTGCATACTGTGTGAAATTACTACCATATACATGCTGGTTAATCTTGTGCACAAACTTCTAGGTTGTGTAATGGGTCCTGTATCCACTTACTATCTTTGAACTAATGTTCCCTTACTCCGGTCTAACCAGTACTGTCTGCTACTGGCCGATAGACATCCCAATATGTCTGCAGCTTTCAGAAACTTCACCTAGAAAACAGACTAGGGTCTGAATGGTAGACCATGAACTAACTGAAGCAGCCTTTTAATGACAGGTGTGATGTCATGTTCCAAAGCTTTCTATTTTCTCAGCCTTTTCAATAAAGGGTATAGGACCTAGAATCTCCAGAGGTCATGTTGCAGTGGTTAGCTATTGCAACATAATCATTCTGCTTGGAAATTGCTTGTTTTGCGTCTCAGGCTAGTGCTTTCTGTTCACATGGGATTAATTCCAATTGGATGATAACTTTGCATTTCTAGAATATCACCTGCAAAAGTATCTTACACAATACAAACAGCCTCTCACACAGATCCCTATTTTTCTCCTTTTACAGATAAGCAAATTGCAGTGCACAAAGTCACCTGGTGAAGGTCATACAAAGTCTGTTAGAGCCAAGCAGCCTACCTCCTAGTCCTGTATTCTAATCACACACTCATCAACTTTGTCTTCGTACTATACTGTGAGGGGACCTAGGGCAATATTCAAACTTCAGTCATCAGTTTGAGTTCAGTAGCAATGAATCTTGACTAACACAAGTTAATGGTAGCACCTCATCAGTTGTAGAGGCTACTGTAGACTTGTAGGACAGCACAAGCTGCACTAAATAATGGAACTCAGTAAAGGGGAAGGAATATGCTTGAGGTTTAGTTTCCACAACATTTCCTTGTCTCTTTCTTTCCCTCTCCCCCTTCCCCTCCACATTTATCTACTCTTGCTTGGTGTCTGTTTCAGATTCAGCTCACAGTTCAAAACAGCTGTTCTCCTCTATCAGACTGGGAGAGGGTTACAAAGTGAGAAAAGTAAAACAAACACAGCTAGCTCATAAGGAACTGCAGGAAACTCATTCAGCAGTGGCTATTGCTTTAAGTTTAAGCAGCCCCATGTTCCCTAACAATAGATACAAAATGTATTATCAGTGCATAAAGTGCATCATTATTGTATGGGAAGCTGTATTATCTGAAAATACTACTCATTCTGTCTTCAGCCACAGATTCTGGGGACTCAGTAGTAGTAGTGTAGCAGCACCTACAGGCCATAACTAAGCAGGGGGAGGGGGGGAAGATTCAGTCCATTAAATGCCCTATAAATAGGGCCCTACCAAATTCACTGCCCGTTTTGGTCAATTTCAGTCATAGGATTTTAAAAATCACAAATTTTCAGATTTCAGCTATTTAAATCTGAAATGTCTTGGTGGTGTAATTGTAGGAGGCCTGATCCAAAAAGGAGGGGTGTGTGGTGGGGGAGGGGGTTGCGGTGCTGCTACCCTTACTTCTGTGCTGCTGATGGCAGTGGCGCTGCCTTCAGAGCTGGGCGGCTGGAGAGCAGCAGCTGCTGGCCGGGAGCCCAGCTCTGAAGGCAGAGCTGCTGCCAGCAGCAGCGCAGGAGAGAGGATGGCACGGTGTGGTATTGCCCCTCTTAATTCTGCACTGCTGCCTGCAGAGCTGGGCCCTCAGCCAGTAGCCGCCCCTCTCCAGCCACCCAGCTCTGAAGGCAGCAGCGCAGAAGTAAGGGTGGCAATACCACAATCCCCTTAAAATAATCTTCTGACCCCCTCCTGCAACTCCCTTTCAGGTCAGGACCCCCAATTTGAGAAACATGGGTCTCCCCCCCATGAACTCTGTATGATATAGAGCAAAAGCACATAAAAGACCAAATTTCACAGACTGACACATTTTTCATGGCCGTGAATTTGGTAGGGCCCTATGTATAAATACACAGTAAAATAGTCTAATCTAAACATCTTAAAGTCTAACTGTTCCACTCCCTTGCATTAAATGAAATTATAGCAACAAAGAATTTACATCCACTTATCTCGTGAAGGCTTCTTGAAACTGAATGAGCTGTCTTATGCCTATGTATTTAGATGTCAACATATCTTCTTAGATTAAATTAGGTTTTAATGCTGGACTAGGTGACTTAATGCTAGTGCACAAGATTCTCTTACTATAGTAATGAGTCCAAATGCCATGAGCATTCTGTTAATACAGCTACAAGAACTGTTTAGTTTAATTGCTAGAAACTTGTTCACAAGGCCTGTAGGTCAATGATTATTAAGACTTGTTTACCTGTTTCATTACTAACAGCCTGTGGAATAAATTTTACTAAAGGAGAAAACATGCATTTATATTGTAAAAACAAAATCTCAGACAGCTAAAGGACTACAGTAGTTATAGTAGATGTAAGGGCAGCAAATTGGACTGTCTTCAGGCTTTATCCTTCAAGCTTTCTGTATCTCCTCTGCCAGCAGGCAATACATAATACATTTACACTGGTGATTAAATGGTGCCATAATTGTATAGTGCACATGAACATGCTCATCAGTTCAGCTAACCAGACTAAAGGATCAGCAGAATACAATCATTCTAAGCCCTGAAGAATGTCAAGACAATGCCCGGTTTAATCTTCTCTGAAAGTATAGTCCTTGTGATTTGTGCACCTAAAGAAAGAAAGAGTGAGTTATTCTAAAGTTCTTACAGTGAACACTACAAGGGTCAGCACTGATGCAGTCTCAAGGTTAAAGAGAGGAGTTTGAAATGTGCATAATCTCTAATTATAGTGGACATTTAAAGTGTTTATCCAGCCTCCCTCACTGTCCTAACTTATACCGGATAATTCATGTTAACGCTCTGCTTTTTGTAATCAATAGAGGATTTGAGTATTCTGTAATTTAAATAGGCAGGCTTGAACTCCTGTCAGTCAAAAGGTACTTTTCCCCTGTAGATTTGTAACTGTTTCAGATTTTACATTATGATCTTGATGTCAGAAGGAATATATTTCTCAATTATTTAGCACACCTCATCTGAGGCTATCACATTTCTTTGCAGTATTAAGCCACACATATCTGATGTACAGTATGGCTGTAGTAGTCACTTCACAGATTGTTACATTGGGAAAAGAGAATAAATAGCAGAGCTAGGAATAGATTTTAAATGTCAGGGTCCAACCACTCTACAATACAGACCCTACATTAATAATTTCTGTGTAGGTAGTACATGACCTCTCTTTTCTTGACTTACTAACTTACAAGGATAAGCTGATTTAGTAGAACATTGATTTCTGAATTGTAATTTTACACTGAACATCTTTTAGTCAGATGAATAGCAAAAAAAAAAAAAAAACCACACACACACACAGAAATCTGAAGCCTATCTATTTTGGAGCTGTAAGTCTATTTTAATTTGCTAACACATGTTTAGCTCATAGTAGCTTGACATCTACATATTAAAAGCTATTTTAACATGATAAATCCTGTATAAATCACAATTCTGCAAAAGGGCACAAACTGACTAGTATTCTAGTGAATGCTAGCATGGGATTTCAATGGCTTTGAATATGACATTTTGTTAGAGGTCCATTGTTCAGTTTCCTACTCACCATTTAAAAATGAGGATATGAATGTTCTGTAATAAATGTGTATTTGCCATGCATTCTGCTAGATGAGAAGAGACACCCACATGCTTATGGGGCAGATTCTACATCTCCTCTTATAGCGGAGGATGGTTTCCATCTCCTCTTTAGTTATTTCAAAGTCAAACACCTTAAAAGGAGAGTGAGAGAGACAGACACACAAAATAAGATGTACAAGAGGTAAGTTTAAGTGGCTTCCAGGTAAGGATACTGCAGAGATGAGGAAGAATGCATTATAGTTGTTTAGGTGACAGAAGGAACACAACTTCATGAGCAAATGTTACAATGAATGCCCACATTTCTGAGTGGGTAATAAAATATATGAACCAAAATTTTAAATGTGGGGTACCTAAAGACAGGCATATAAATTAAGTTGCCTGATTTTCACAGTTTCAACTCTTAATTTAGTCAAAGGGACTTGTGATGTCTCTGCCAGTGCTCAGCACCTGTGAGTATCAGGTCACTTAATTTATATGCTGAATTATTAGTGCCATGTTCCAAATTTTGGCCTTGAATTATGAAAACCGCTCTACAATACAAAACGGCATGATTCTACCCACTAGGTTCTTATATTATAATTTAGGATGTCACTAACCAGTCAACTCACTGATCAGATCAATTTTTATTTTATTTTGCTGAAAAAGATAGTTCAGGTAGACTTTCAAATGTTTACAAATGAGGGATAATTCAGAGGAAGGAAAGATATGTTTGCATGGCCTGATCCTCCAAACCATTACTCGGGCCATCTCTCTTGTGTTCAGTGGGATATTTACTTTAGTATACGTACTGCAGTGTTTGGCCCTTCATTAGTGGTAACCACAGTGTAGCCTGTGTTAGTACTTAAGAATTGTTGTAGGTATGAGTGACTGATTTAGCTTCAGATATGTGGGTGTTACCTCAAAGAGGTGACAGCGTTAATGAGAATTCTATTTATTTTAGTTGTTTCCAAATTCTTAGTTGTTATGTGGTTATCGGAGCCTAGAAGAATCAACTGAGTATGGGGAAATCATGTACATTAAACAAAGGGATTCAGGTGTTTTGGAATGGTCTAGCATTGAACTGACATGATGCTGGAGAGAGAGAGACCATTTTTTGAAACAAAGTAGTATATGTAATCAGGCAACTCACTAATAGAATTTTAAATCAAACTGTTAGGTCACCTCTTCCAGAGGGAGGATTTGGTTTCACATTTATTTATTTGCTGGCTGTTCTAATGAAGTAAGCTGAGTGGTTGCCATTTCAAAAAAAACTTCAGCATTTACCATGTTATCATATAGTCATATCTGAGAGACCCCAGTTATTTCCTGTTCTAAATATAAGGGAAAACAGTGATATTGGTAAAGTAAAGCAGGTTTCCTGTATAAACTTGCAACAGGACCTATAAGTATCTTATCTGCAACATTACCTTAAAATTCTCCTCAATGCGATGTGGAGTGACAGACTTGGGAATTACACTCACATTTCTTTGGATGTGGAACTGGATCAGAACCTACAGCAACAAATCAGAAATGTGGCAAATTCAGAAGACAATGCCATGCCTACCTTCACATTCAATAGTGAATAAATCCCCTAGATCAAAGAGTTACCACAGGAGGAAACAATGTAGCAGAGCCACCCTAATTTTTGCACATAGTCATTTATTACTAGTATTCATGAGACCAAGATGGCAACTATTGACTGCCACTGACTGAAAAGATTGACTAATGGTGATGCATATGAAAGATGTAGCTACCCCTTTCTAGCTAATGCCCTCAATTTCACACAGTTTAGTGGTCAGTAATCTTTCCCCATCCCTTCAGTAATGCAGTCATATTAAAAACAAATATTTAAAGCAACATGCTACAAAGGAAACATAACAGGGAGCAGAATTGGGCACAACTCCTTTGTGAAAGATGTTAGCCAGCATAAGAGGATGACACTTTAGAAAGGAAAAAACTGTTGTACAATGAGTCTGTACCTGAGCTGAGGTTTTGCTATACTTAGCTGCAATTTCCCTAATCTTCCAAGAGGAAAAAGTCCTCAGACTTGGGCCAACAAAAATAAAGAGTAGACACTTTGATGGAAAAGATAATTGTGTTTTTCCACCACTAAACATCATAGGGTTCATAAGATAGTTGGTAATTTAGGAACAAAAGAATGTATGGCATACTTTAATTCACCCCATCGCATTGCTCCTTTCCCTCCAAACATCATTCTTCACATTATTTTATCATGAGTAGGCATCTGTGAATAGCTGAGTTTTGCATAGAAGTTAGATATAGCTTGTTCCAATATACTCCAATAAGATGTTCTATAGTCTAGGATTTAGCACCGAGAATTCCTTCCCTCTGACTCCCAAGAATTTCATCCTTCATGATCCCAGTTTCCCTTGTAGGTAATGGATGGAGAGTGGATGTCTCTGAGGTAGTCTAGCGGGTTTGAAGATTAGAACCAGAGACAATCTCAAGCTCATCATATGTTTGTTACAATGAATGCATGAAACTGATGTTTTCATGACAGGTGTTTGATTATGATTTTGTAATCTTTCATTAAGTTGTTAAAGAATGTTAAATAAATTTATCAGAATTCAGCTAAGAATTTTCTTCACCAGTTCACAAAATGATTGCTTGTTTTTCTATTAAAATACATAAATTCAGTTAGACTGAGTCCCACACATTAATCCAATAAGAGATTAATGGTTTCTATGTAATTGTGCAGATTTAAGAGAAATTTTGAGGTTTTGTAATCTACAATAATTTATCAATTTTCTTCATTTTTATTTCATCCAGCTATGGTAATATACAAATATTAGTTTATTGAAATCACTCCTAAAAAGAAAAACAAGATACAGAAAACATTCTTACCAAAGCCAGTTAGGAGCTCCAAGGGGACAGTATGCAGTGACAGCAATCCCTTGGGACTGGCAATACTTAACCAGCTCTTCCTGAGGAAGGTATGGGTGGCTCTCGAGCTACAAGCATGAACACTAAGTTTACGCAGAGGCAGACTGTACTACTGCTTTTCAGAGTACAGACACTGTGGTGACTTACTGAAAGATATATAATAGCACAAGCTTCTCCATAGAATATATCCCCACTAACCTCCAGAAGATAGCTTCTTTTGGAACTAGTCAATATATAGTAGAACCTTAGAGTTACAGACACCTCAGAAATAGAGGCTGTCCATAACTCTGAAATGTTAACTCTGAACAAAACATTACAGACTTCAGTCACCGGGGAGTTGGGGCTACAGGCGCAGGGTGGGGATGGGGGTCAGGGCTTCTGACCCTAGGGGCCATCAGGGCTCTTGGCAGGGGGCTCAGGGCTTCTGCTCTCTGGAAACATCGGGGCTCAGGGCTTTAGACCTGGGGGGAGCATTGGGGCTTGAGGCTTCAGTCCCACCTCTCTGTTCCTGGCTTCAGCCTCGTGGGGGGCATCAAGGATCAGAGCTTCAGTCCCACAGGAGTTGCCAGGCATCGGGGCTTTAGCTATGGGGGGGAAATGCTGGGGCTGAAACTGGTGCTCCCCTCATAGCTAGAGCCCCGGCAACTCACGCAGGGCTGAAGCTGGGAATGGAGTTACAGGGCTGAAGCCCCAAGCCCCACTGCTCCCCGCAGTCTAAAGCCCTGAGCTCCGGTGCTCCCGAGGGTCAGAAGTCCCCAGCCGCCCTCCCCCACACCCTACGGCTGCAGCCCCAACTCCCCTCCCCTCCACCCAGTGGCTGAAGTCATGAGCCCCAGGGCTAAAGCCCGGAGGCAATACAGTATTTGCTGGTGTTTGGGGGGGGGTGTTCTTTTTGTCTTTTTTTGGTCTCCGCTACTGCCTGATTGATGACTTTAGGTTTCACAGGGTGGCCAGTTGACTGGTAAGTCCATCACTCTGGTGTTCATATCTCTGAGGTTCTATTGTACTTTAAATTATCTAAAGGTACTCCTCCTGCAAGGAGTAGTTAAAGAACTGACTTGCTTTGTACTTTTAGTTTCTTGTGATCTAAAATTTCTTATTGTACACAACCTCCATCTCATTGTTGATTAAGCACAACCTTGTGCTAAGCTTGCTTCCCCTCAGTAATATGCCACAGAGTGACTGATTTGGGGCAACTAAACCAGCTTTTCACAGGTGTTCACTAATTGTGTATTTTTTATTTTTAATGCGGTTGAAATGTTTGGGTTTCCATTTTGACCTTATCACCATGGAACATTTCAATTTTTTGTTTCAGAATAACTTTTTATTTCAAAAATTTTTATTTTACATTTTTATATTTTTTTATTTTTTATTTTTATATTATACCAATTACCAGATCAGTTACCAATTAGAATAACAATTACAAATGATCAGTTAGAATAGCAAAGAGTACTAGTTACCAAACCATTTAGAATACCAATTACCAAGCAAACTAACAATTAGAATACTATTTAGCAATTAGAATATCAATTTTAAAAAACAATTATCAATTTATAATATAAAATAAAAAATTAAAATACATTAAAAATCAAAATAGAAACAATGTCTCAATTTACCTGAAACTAATTTTTTTTCAGAAATTTTATTCTGTGAGCAATTTTGAAATTTGAATTTAGAACAAAAAAAATGTTAAATGTCTGAATTTCCCACAGGATGGAAATTCCAAGTTTTGAAAAACTCTACTTATAGGAATCAGAGAAAAACTCATTAAATGGTCCATTCTGTCCATTAACCAATTACACCCTTCTCAAACATACACAGACACACATACAAGTCACATCTTCTACCTGCAGCATCCTTCAGACAAGTGTTCTGCCAACACTAATGAGTCTGTAAGCAGCCACCTGGTTATTCACTGGTTTGTATTTTAAATCAGGTTTGTTCAAGAGCCTCTTTATCTGTTCACAGTTAAAGTTGGAGATTCCATTGGATTTTGCCAATCCTGCATCCACCAGCTTTTCCATAGCCTAAGGATACAAGAAAATCAGACATTCTATATAACCAAGGGCTCATCTATACAGGGAAATTGACTGGCATAGCTATTCTGGAATAACTCCCCCTGTGAACACACTATTCCAGAATAAAAGTAATTTTATTCCAGAATAATTAGCCTGCTCACAAAGCTGAGTAATAATTCTGGAATAATGTCACTTTTCTTTCAGAATTATTCCAGAAAAGTTATGCAAGTCAGTTTCCCCATGTAGACATACATGGCACAAAGTGTTCGTGGTCTTATTGTTAACTTGCCTATTTTCTTTCACAAAACCAAATGATAAACCAGGTAGTTGGACCTGCCAAATACATCATGTTTTGCAGGTCCCAGAGTCTAGCTGAGAAAGGGGATACACAAAAAATAGCCCACTGCATCCTTCTTTTAGGAGGCAGAGACATTCTCTTTTAAGAACAGTTTTCTTTTTGTGCTTGTTATCATTAGTATCAGCCTGCAGTTTCCTTTTTATTCCTGTAAGTCACCAATAAGACTTGATTAATTTCCTGTCTGACAGAATGGAGAAAAGGACAAGATTCCCAAGTGTTCCTTCTAAATCTGGTGACTTACTATCTCATTCTCCTTTCTCCTGAAGGCTTGGCTGAGCACACACAGTTCCTGTTGCCACCCTCATCTAATAGCATTTCTGACAGAAACAAAGGGAATCTCAATTAATCAGTTAACCCACCTCCCATGTGTCCAGAAAATCTGTGTCACTTGGAATGATCATGCTGTTCTCATCTGCAGGAAACAGTTCTTCTCTGGCCTGTCATTGTAAGATAGACATAGATATCGTCCATGCTGAATTATCTATTGGGGTTTTTTGTTTGTTTTTCTTTAAATCTGCAAGTGAGTGAAGGTGGATTTATACAGGGTGTCCTGACTTGAGCTTTGAGGGGCAAAAAGAAGGAAAAAAGAATAACTCTTATTAAAGTAATTAGTTTATGAGCAGACTGGCACCATGCCAATCAGTGTGACTTGCAACTACAAGCAGAGGAAGGACAGAAGCTTATCAGTGCTTCTGTCAGCTTGTAGGAGCTCTCTGGAGGTTGACAGAACAGTCCTGCAGTAGGGAGCTGAGGACTTAGCTATCTTTCCAGTAAAGATAGAGATAGATAAGCATTCAGAACATAGACATCATCAGACAGGAATATTGTAGAATATTATAGACAGCCAAATGACTAGATATTATGAGCCAAGACACCTGGATTTGATTTGGATCAATTACTCTCTAATCTAGAAGGGCTGGAAAAAGGAAGAAAATAAGAATGACAAAAAGACTACATTACAGTGTCACAGTAGCACAGCTGCAGCATAGACATACCATAAGAATGACCTTGCAAGATAGCTACTGCCTTACCAGTCCAGGGCAGCACTACTTTCTGGAGGATCCTGGGAGTGGCACCAATACACTCTGAAGAAAGTCTAGTCTTCTTTGCCTGGTTAGAAGATAACTATGGCATGACTGCTAAGAAGAGGAAATTGCCTCCCTAGGACTCTGACAGAAAGGCTTAGAAGAGTTAAAATCACAGTACCTTGAATCCCATGGGCCAGTGCATCAGGTAGAGGTCCAAATAATCCAATTTCAGTGCAGCAAGCGTATTCTGGCATGCTCCCTTCACCATGGATTTCTCATGAAATGTGCACCATAGCTAGAGAGAGAAAACTAAGCATGACAGTTGACTTCACAGGCAAATGACAGTATTAAATATCCCCAGAAAGACAGTCACACCTACCAGAGGCAGGTCTGGGAATATTATGCCATTCATCTATAGGGGAGGTGGCACTGATGGGTATATTATTGCAGTTAATTTTGTCACTGGCAGTACACTTGACTAAATTAGGATTCTGCCAGATTAAAATATAGTAAAACATCACCAGTTAAGTCAGCAATTAAAGAAAATAATGCAAAAATGCAAGATTGGTGAAGACCCACTCACAAGTTTTCCAGTAGGTAGAAAACAATTTCTTTTTCTTACCCTTGTTGCTGCTGGGGAGAAAACCTAACATACAAGAGTTAATAAATTCAAACCTGCAGCAGGAATGAGCAAGAATATTGTAGCCATGCTTTCTTCCTCAGGGTCACTGAAAGAAGAGGCTGAGTTCCTGCTCTATTGCTGGCAAAAGAGGAGTACACAGAAAAGTGCATTCTAATCAACCATGGATTTTTAAGAGTTTCTTTTTTCCTTCCCTCCATCCCCTTTACTTGACTACTGGAATAAAGAAAACAAAATTAATAAATAGTGGATACAGTATTAAGGGGTTCATTTCCTGACTAGCTTTACTCCATGGAGCCTGCCCTTTGCATTATGTGTTCTTTGTCTCTTTTCCTCCCAGTCATCAACCTGACCCCATACTTAGACTCAGGTGAACCAAGGCTGTACCTTACCCTTACTGACAACAAAGAGGTCCTCCCGTGTCACAACTCCCTCCTCAATTTTCTCTTGGATCGCATTCCCTATTTCATGTTCATTCTGGTACACATAGGCACAGTCAAACTGGCAGTATCCAACATCAATGGCAAACTTCACTGCCTCTCTCACTTTCCCAATGGGGGACTGAAATGAAAAGAGAAAGCCAGAAATTTAAATATCTGGAAAATATTTCCAGCTTTCCAGTGTGATAATGGTTCATCCTCCCCTAAAATCATGTAGTATTAATCCAGTAGTATTTGAGTGATCCGGATTTGATTCCCATTTTCAGTGTGCTTTATGGAACAAAACAACCAGTGACAACCTTGAGTCTTAAGCCACCTGTGATTGGCACTCACAGATTATGGTAATAGGCACCCAAGAAATACCATAGACAGGTAAAAAGAAAAGGAGTACTTGTGGCACCTTAGAGACTAACCAATTTATTTGAGCATGAGCTTTCGTGAGCTACAGCTCACTTCATAGACAGGTAGGACAAGATAGATACAAGACTGTACCATGCCATATGCATCTATTTAGGGTGAAATCTGCCCAGATGGCCAATCACGTAGATCAAGAGGGTGCGCAAGAAAGGGGCAAATCTCAAGGAATGGGAGTCAAAGTAAGGTATGGTAATCATATTGCTCAACATTTATTTGGAAAACACAATAACAGACTCCAAGATCTGTACATGGAAACTGTGCAAGAATTCTTTAGCCCATTCCCTACAACGTAAGTACATGTTCCTGGAGACATCAGACTGAGAGTGTGGAGGAAGGAAAACATGATACAAGAATTCTCCAGTCCTCCCTGGCTGAAAGTTACTGGTCATTCGAGGAATGCCCTCCAGAAGATTCTCCACATCCCTGTTGGAAACCTTCATTCACCTGCTTAACATTTCCTTTGCAGCCAGTCATTCTAAGAGTGAGAAATTGACAGGATAACTTTTGAAGAGCTCTGCTAAACTGACCATAGGAATCGATGTTGAGATACTTGGAATCAACACCTGGAATTAAGTTATAATTTGCCAAGACAGAAAAAGAGGAGAAACCAGTTTTAAGGTGGGGTTTTGGGAAACACGAGGAAAGACATAATCACTGGAAATCCTCTTGACTCCTGGACATAAACAAATCTGCTATTGAGGAGATGGGACAGGAGGCATATGTAGATACAATGCAAAACATTATAGAAAGTGCCACTCTCTGGATAAGGCACATAGTTTAGGATTCATTATCAATATGAAACCACATAACTTTCTTGGCTGGAAAAGAACACTGAAAATTTGTTTGACAACCTTATATCAAGTCAAGTGGAAAGAGGGGAGGCATCTCAAGTAAGAACTTGCAGCAAAAGCAGAGCTACACATTCCTACATTTAATGCATTATAAGATTAACAATATAATCACTGATCACTTTTTTTAAGCACATAGTTCTGAGTCCTACTGATCAAAGGCTGCTTGCTTGGTTGGGGCGCTGGGTAATGTTGGTGGCCTGTGACATACAGGAGGTCAGATTAGATGAGCTGGTGGTCTCTTCTGGCCTTAAATTCTATTACTCTTTTTAAAAAAAACCCTACCTGGCTTCTTGCATGGGGTAGAAAAATAAGCAGGAACCAGTTATCCCTTCTGGTGAATATCTACTTTTTGAATGACTCTTACAGCCTGAATTCATCTCATTTCTTGCATAAGATTCATTAACTGCAGCTCCTTCAGCAGCGTGGGAAAGCTAGCTGGCATATGTAAAAGTGGCAGCATGCCAAGATGTACCAGTCTCTTTGTGGCCCCCTGCTGGAGGCCCCTCAATCCTACCACCACCCCACCCCAGGAAGGAGCAGTAAAGGTGGGTCCCCTAGAGCTGCCTAGAGAGGCTGCCTAGAAGTAGCCAATCAGAGTCCAGCAGTCTCAAATAAAAGGAGCTACAGGGGCTGAATAGGTCAGTTCATGGCTGGGGCTAGAGGGAACTTTGGCCTCAGGGAGCTTGATGGGCTGTATTTGCTTAAACCCCGGAGGGTGAGAGGACCTGTGAGCTCTAGCCCTAAGGTAATGGATGGTAGTAAAGAGACCAGGTGGGAAGAGGCCCAGGGAATTAATTAAAGGAGGCAGGGGTATGTGACTGCTGTTTATAGGGTCCTTGGGTTTGGACCTGGAGTATTTGGTGGGCCCAGGTCCCGCCAGTGGCAAAGTGGTGTAAACCCTAATAAAGGGCTGGATTAAAAAGGACCTGAAGACCTTGGTGAGGGCTTACTGTTGAACTCTTTGCTACTCTGGAGGGGGTTCATCCATTTGACTGTGGTACTTGGCCAGAGAGCTGAGCCATTGAAGACCTGCCTAGCAAGGTCAGCAATCTACAAAGGGTGCCAGGAGCAGGGGGGAAAAGAGACTGAAGTGCCACACCAGCTGACAAGAAGCAGTCAGGAGGTGAGTGCCCTTGTCCCAGTCAGTCACTATACAATGGGGTTCTCAAACTGGAGTTTGGGACCACTTGGGGGGTTGTGAGCTGTCAACCTCCACCCCAAACCCTGCTTTGCCTCCAGCATTTTTAATGGTGATAAATATTAGTGTTTTTCATTTATAAGGGGGAGTTGCACTCAGAGGCTTGGTATGTGAAAGGGGTCACCAGTACAAAAGTTTGAGAACCACTGCTATACAATATGCTGTACAGGATCTAGGATCTGCTGTACTAAAGTGCAGTGTGGAAGACAAAGCTTTTTGTGAAGAAGCAAAACGTGTGATCCTTCTCGTTGTGTTAGCTGGTGGAGCAATGCGGGAGACAGGATTGGCGATTTGTTCCCTGGTTACACAACTCTGCAATGAGACATTCAGAGAATAATCCCTTGTATTATATTACATTGTGTACCTGCATTACAACAGGATCTTTCTTTACATAGTCACGCTGTACTCAAATTGAAACTCCTGTATTCAGTAAGTACAAAGAGATACAGTTGAGGTTGCTGTGGGAACATTAATACTGAATAATCTTGACAAAATAACCCTAGTGATTTGTGTGGAAATAAACAGTGAATTTTTCATTGCATTTAGATAGGGGCTTCTTACATCAAAAAAGCTTTCCAGTCAGCCTGACCCACTTATCAGGTTCATTCGAAGATTTCAACAAAGAATGAGGAGTACTTGTGGCACCTGAGACTGACTAATTTATTTGGGCATAAGCTTTTGTGGGCTAAAACCCACTTCATCGGATATGCCACAAGTACTCCTCATTCTCTTTGATACAGACTAACACAGCTACCACTCAAACTTGTCAAAGATTTCACAAATCATCACTGATAAATCATGTTACAATCCCATGCTTGCAATAATGAGTTAAGGGGGTATCATCCTGAGAGATACTGGGCATGCACAATTAGCACTGGAGTCAAGGGGAGCTGAAGGCACTTAACACCTTTTGTGATTAGACCCACACAGAGGTGGGCAATTAAAGTATAAACATAAGTACAACTCTTTTGACACACATTCTTTCTATATTTTTCCCCTTCAGGCACTGCTCATTCTCAATGTAACATTTTACAGAGTTTTAATAAAACATGGGGCTGAACATCTTTTATCTTCTAATGTTGCAGTTTTTTGTGAGATTTGTCCATTTTGCCTACTTCTTGGAAATTAACTTAAATAGGCTCTTAAAAACCTTCTCCTGCACCCCAAAGCAGCAATGTGAGATACTACAGTTCCTTTTTGTTTGGAAAGTACCATGCAGAAATAGGGTGCTTTATAAATCAACATCCAAATAGTTTGTACAAAGTTCCATTTGTAAATCCAGTTTGATTTTTAATTACAGTAGATGATACTTAAATTAATTCTAACAGATTAACATGGAATAGTAAAAAAAAAAAATCACATTAAGCAGTTTTCAGGGGCATCGAAAGGCATCCAAAGGCAAATCTCCACATAAACACCACACATTCACTCTCAAAAGATTTGACAAGTACTTAAAGCTGTAACTGAACAGTCACACCTGCAGAATTTCAAGAGACCATAAGCTCCAGGTAGGAGTTGCATTCTCTTGGTGAGACAGCTGCAACAGGCTTGATGACCTGTAGCAGTTTCATTGCATCATGCTTAGAACAAGGCTAGTTTGTAACCTTTATGTGTACGGTGCCGGAGTAGTTGGGTCTCATCATTACCTGCCAGTTTCCTAGTCCCAGGATAAGCATCTTTGCTTTTGTGCTCAGTTCCACATAGGTTGTCATGGCTTGTCTGTTCTAATTCCCTTTGGAATGCAACACAGTAAAAAAATGGGCAATACCCTGGCAAAAGCCTTAAATAGGTTCTTGTTCCACCCACTTTCTGGTGATTGGCTACAGATAGGAGTGGGAAGGGAGAATGAAGGCGAGACGCCTCAGAAGGTGGAGGTTTTGCTTTGTGCCTCTTCTCTTTGTAATTCTACAGGGCTTCATAATTCTCCAATCTGCAAGTGTGCAGTAGGCTTTGTACGTGTCCTTATATGATTTGAATTTTTTGAGAGTGTTAATAAGCAAGCGGGGAAAAGGAGATCCAGTGGATATAGTGTGTTTGGTGACGGACCTTGTCAAAGGCTTTCTGAAAGTCAAAGTCTCTTAAGCAAAGTAAGCAGTAATGGGATAAGAGGGAAGGTCTTGTTATGGATCATTAACTGACAGGAAACAAAGGGTAGGAATAAATGTTCCATTTTCACAATGGAGAGAGGTAAATAGCAGGGTCCCCCAAGAATCAGCACTGAGACCACTGTTGTTCAACATATTCATAAACAATCTGGAAAGGGGATAAACAGTGAGGTGGGAAAGCTGTAAATGATAAATTACTCAAGATTGTGAAGTCCAAAGCTGACTGAAGAGTTACAAAGGGATCTCACAAAAGTGGGTGACTAGGCACAATGCAAAATATAATCCCAACTATACATTCAAAACTATGAGGTTTAAAGAAGCTCATACTAATCAAGAAAGATTTTGGAGTTGTTGTGGATAATTCTTTGAAAACACCAGCTCACTGTACAGTGGCAGTCAAACAGAATTTTAGGAACCATTAGGCAAGGGATAGATAAGACAGAAAAATATCACAATGCCACTATATAAATCCATGGTATACCCACACCTTAAATATTGCATACAGTTCTGTCTTCCCATCTCCAAAAAAAAAAAATTAGAGTTGGGGGGAAAAAGTAAAATGGCAACAAAAATGATTAGGGGTATGGAACAGCTACAATATGAAGAGAGAGTAAGAAGACTGGGACTGTTCATCTTTAGAAAAGAGAAGACTAAGAGGGGGATATCATGAATGCTATGGAGAAAGTGTTGTTTATCCCTTTACAACACAAGAATGAGGGGTCACCTAACGAAATTTATAGGCACCAGGTTTAAAACAAACCAGAGGAAATACTACACACAGTCAACTTGTGGAACTCATTGTCAGGGGATTTTGTGAATACTAAAAGTATAACTGGCTTAAAAAAAGAATTAGATAAGCTCATTGAGAAGAGGTCCATCAATGGCTGTTAGCCAAGATGGTCAAGGATTCAACCCCATGCTTTGGTTATTCCTAAACCTCTGACTCCTGCTAGCTATGGCTGGGCAAAGGGGGTTGGCTCACTCGATAATTCTGTTCATTCCCTCTGAAGCATCTGGCACTGGTCACTGTTAGAAGACAGAATATCAGGCTAGATGGACTACTGGTCAGACCCAGTATAGCCATTCTTATGTTCTTCTTAGTTGCACAAAACTTGAGTCAAGAGTTTAAAGCTAGAAGGAACCACCAGATCACCTAGTCTGACTGCCTGTATGGCACAGGCCACAAACACCATCCAGTACTCTCACACCAAACCTGGAAACCAAAATTAGACTTAAGTATTATAGCCCACAGGAGACTAAATTTGTTATGAGAATAGAAGTCTAAGAATAGGAGGGACTGTGCTGCCCAAGGCCCCTGTAATGGCAAGGAAATGATTAAGTGAGAGATGCCCAGATAATCCCAGCAAGTGACCCACTCCCCATGCTGTAGAGGAAGGCAAAAATCCCCAAGGTCACTGCCAATATGACCTGGGGGGAAATTCCAACCTGACCCCATATAATGCAATCAGTTAGGTTCTGAGCATGTGAACAAAAACCAGCCAACCGAGCATGTGAGAGAGTTTGCTCAGTGCTGCCTCAAATCATAGGACACTATACAGAGTGGGCCACTCTACAGCCAGGGCCATCTCTGATGGCTCAGAGGAAAGAGAGAGAATACATTGAAGGGAGGGAATCCCTTCCTAACCCCTGCGGGTGACTGGCAAAGCATAATCGTTAGGAACATAAGATATAAACTGGAAGAGTCCCCAGGGCTGCTGAGCCCTGTCCCCCACCATCACATGTAACCCATCATACAATCCCATACACATTTATCCAGTTTTCTCTCAAAACAAATAAAGTTGTTTGTCCCCACAATTGCTGTTGGGAAGCTGTTCCAGAACCTCACATCTCAGATGGTTAGAAGCCTTCAGAGGAGGAGTTCCAGCCTGAATTTGATCTTGTGCCAACATTTTCCTTTAGCTTAAATAGCTCTTCCCCCTCCCTGGTGTTTAGAGCAATCATATACTCTGTCAGCCTTCTTTTTGGTAGGCTACACAAGCCAAGCTCTTCCAGATTCCTCTCATAAGATAGGCCCTCCATACCCCAATCATCCTAGTAGCTCTTCTCTGTACCTTTGCAGTTTGAATTCATCTTTCTTGAACATGGGTGACCAGACTTGCACAAGTATTCCAAATGAGGTCTGTCTTGTGCCTTGTACAATGGCATTAATACTTCTCTAGCTCTGCTGGAAATGCCCTGCCTGATGCATCCTAGAATTGCCTTTGCCTTCTTTGCACATCACATTAATGGTTCATAGTCATCTTGTGAGTGACCAACACAACCAGGTCTCTCATCTTCTGTTGCTTCCAACTGACAAGCCCCCGGCTTAAAGCAGAAACTCTTATTATTCGATCCTAGGCGCATGACCTGACACTTGTTCTGCTGAATTTCATCTCTTTTCTGTCATTCCAGTCTTCAGTTTCATCCAGATTCCTGTATAATATTAAGATCCTTTTCTGTATTGATGATAGTTGCATCCCGATTTTGTATTATCAACAAATTTCATTAGTACACTCCTACTTTTCGTACCAAGGTCATTAATCAAAATGCTTAATAAGATTGGTCCCAGGATGGATCCTTAAGGAACTCCAATAGGAATCTCCCTCTTGTTCGATATTTCAGCACAATCCATTGCCATCTCCCCTTTAGCCAGTTGCTTACAATGCTTGTCCTAATCCCCAACTTCTCTAATTTAACTCAGTTTCCCACGTGCTACCATGTCAAATGCTTTACTGAAGTTCAAGTATATTAAATCTACTGCATTTCCCTTGTCTAAAAAACTCAATTTATTTTCTCAAAGCAATCAGATTAGTCAGGCATGATCTCCTTTGGGAGATCCTTATTGCGTTATTTCCCCTTTCCCAGTTACCTTCTCTTCCTCTGCACTTTCCAGCCCTCTTGCCCCCCCCCCCCTCACTTCTCCACTCTTCCACAAGGAATTACTATACTGGGGTAGCAAACTTACTGACCCTTCAAGCCACATACAACAATCTTCAGAAGTTTGAGAACCAGGGCACTCCTGCCGGGTCCCAGGGCTTAAGCCCTGAGCTGTGGCAGGCAGGGCTGAAGCCTCAAGACACCCCTCCCGACTGGGCAGAAGCCAGATTTTTCCAGGGTTTACTGGCCCCGCTCGGTCACATGGTGCTGCCGGGTCCCCTCCCTGTGTGGCAGCTGCTGGAGCCAGCAAGCTGGGAGCTGCGGCCATAAGGAGAGGCAACTAGAATGACCAGACAGCAAGTGTGAGAAATCGGGACGGGGGTGGGGGGTAATAGGAGCCTATATAAGAAAAAGACCCAAAAATCGGGACTGTCCCTATAAAATTGGGACATCTGGTCATCCTAGAGCAGTGGTGAGGTGGAGCCGGTTCCCACCGGTTTGCTAGAACCGGTTGTTAAATTTAGAAGCCCTTTTAGAATCGGTTGTTCCGTGAGGGACAACCGGCTCTAAAAGAGCTTCTAAATTTAACCAATCAAAAGTGATGCCTTAGGCACCAACTCCATGGGTTCTCCAGGGCTGGAGCACCCAAGGGGAAAATTTGGTGGGTGCAGAGCACCCACCGGCAGCTCCCCCTCCCCTCCCCACCCCATCCCCAGCCCTAGCTCACCTCCGCAGAGTGATGTGGTGCTTTCAGGGGCAGATGCGGAGCGGAGGTGAGCTAGGGCCGGGAGCAGGGCGAGGAGCTGCCAGTAGATGCTCCAGCCCTGGAGCACCCACGGAGTTGGCGCCTAAGGCACCACTTTTGATGTGATGAGTGGGGGGGGGGGGGAGCGGCTGCTCCCCTCTTAGCTACGTTCCCCTACCCCTAGGAGCCAGAGGGGCCTGCCAGATGCTTCCTGGGAGCTGCCCCAGGTAAGCACCTCCGGGACTCCCCACCTCACCCCCCAGCAGGTCTCTCTGGCTCTTAGGGGTGGGGTGGGCACCCAGTACGGTGGCCCACGAGACCCTCCTGCCCGGTTCTTGGGGCAGTCAGGGGACGGGGGGGGGGGGGGTGGATGCGGCGGGGGTCCTGGGGGGGGGGCATCAAGGAACGTGGGGGATTGGATGGGGCAGGAGTCCTGGGGGGTGGGCCATGACCCCTTCATGGGGTGTGGAGGGAACCAATTGTTAAGATTTTGGCAGCTCATCACTGCCCTAGAGGCAACAGCTGGGAGCTGCAGGGAGAGCCGCTGAGGGTAAAAGGGAGGCTGTGCTTGGGGGCATGAGTCGTGCTTGGGGGGAGGGGGACAAACCTTTAAATTGTGCCCCACCACCACCAGGCACCAGTGGTCTCTGGCAGAAGCCCCTAGCCCCATCATCCCACCACAGGGAAGAAGCCCTAAGGTTCCACCCCCTCTGGTAGGTGAAGAATGGGAGGCATGGGGGGCTCTGCAAGCTGCACTTTAACTGTTAAAGAGCTGCATGCGGCTCATGAGCTGCAGTTTGGCTCCCCCTGTACTATACAGTAGAACCTCAGAGCTACGCACACCAGCGTTACAAACTGACAAGTCAACCACCTGTAACTCCCAAGGAGATTACATAGATTCCTGGGACTCTGTCTGCGGGCAGCTCAGGGAGAGGCACACTGTCCCTGGTAGGGTGTGGGAGCCAAGGCAGACTCAGAGTCTGCC